TTTTTAGAACAGTCATCAGAGGTTCACGGCTACTCTCTGTTTTCATGTACAACAGGTTTGACTTGAACAATAGGAACACAACTGACATGGGCATGGATCCGAATCATGTCCTGTGATGAGAAGGATTCCACCCGGATCAGTTCCGATTTTGGTGCCGTAACCTTCTAACATTTCTGTTTTTTGAGTAGTTCCTTGACGAGCATACTGTCGGATCGAGAAGGTAGACGTATACGGATCATTGTTTAGCGATTCAACTGCAATTATTCTAAAGGTCAGGATTCTGTTCAGAATTCTCACATCAGATTGAACGCTTTCATTGAATTTTGTTAAGACACTTAAAGAATTTTCAAAAAGATTTGATTGCTGCTGAAAATCATCGATAATTGATCAGTTTCTCTTTGTCAGAACATTTTGCCTGTGAATCTTCAAAATTGTTTCATTTCATTAAACAATTTTCACTACATTTTATCAATTATTGACCAAGATACACGAACTTACAATAGCTAACAACACATTGTTCAGGATGTATGGCTGGTGAGTCAATAACCTGAAATTTAATAGGCACATTTAGTTTCAGTTTTGATTCGGGCAATCTGAACATTTCACTGGAGTTTTTCGATGTCAACATTAATATGATATACTGATAATTCAAGATCAATTACTAGATCATTTCTTCACTAAACAATCTAGTGAACTGTTTTTGTTTTCTGCAAAAACCAAAGCAAATGCTCATGTATGTACCGTATACCAACGTCCCATCATTTTCTCCACCTCCACATCTCCAATTGCAAAATACAACGAATTGTAGACTTTCCTCGCGAGTTCTTCAGCATCAATCTTTTGAAGCATCTGAATGAACGAACGTCTAGTTATTCATCACCGAAAAGCTTATTTGATAAGGATTACATAAAGTTGTGATGAGATGGTGATACGAGAGAATCACGAATGAGAACGTTACGATAAGGTAGAGGTAATCCATTTCGGACATCGACTATGAAGCTTTAACTTATTACTTGATCAGCAATAAGGACAATATCTAGTTATAGATATAACTCAAGCCTATGACTAGTTAATGTTCTGATTGCTCGCATAATTGCTGTCATTTTATTGGTGCAACTAGCAAATTGTATAGCCATAGGCATCCTACAACGCCATGATCACGTATAATCCAGACAAGTATAATTGATGTATTCGGACATGGACGATAGATGACGATCTCCTGAGGCAATGCCTAGACGTACCTGGGTAAGTTGGTGTAGGTAACTGTGTTTCGATGCGTTCGGCAAGCATGATGAAGCGTACAACTCGAAGAATCTGGCTGTCGGCACAGTTCTACCCGGTACCGGAATTCCACCCAAATAACTGGCTGAAAATTATTGCTATCTGGATTTTCTCTCAAGCAAATCCCACAAAATTCTACCAAGAGCTGATAGCGACTCTTCGATTCCCTTTTAACAAGTGCTGATATTGTCAACTGATTCGAGTTAACTTCAATGCGCTCATCAGATATTTTCCTTGAACTCTGAACTCTAGTTGTAAGTTATACGCTCCTCCAGATTAGTCTTATTGTGATCAAATCATCGTTTGATCTGCACTCCCATACGCGTGATCTCATTGTGAGGAGGTATACTCATTTGTTACAATTGCACAATTGAAGTTTGAGAACAAAACGGTTAAAAAATTGAAAACCTGAGAGTGTGAAGCGGGCTGATATCACTAAAATGAGCAGAATTTGAAGTGAATTAGCCGTATGAATCATTGTTAGAATGGCTAAATGCAGTGTATTTGTGTTTCGATTCGGAACCGATCGAAATTGGTGCAATAACCTTGGTTGACCTCAATATCTCAATTCATCGAGCACACGCGAGCGATTCACACAATTCGAAAAAGCGGCTCTTAGCATGAACAAACGCTAAGTTGTTGCTTCGGCTGAACTTTACCGAATTTTGACTGGCCAAATCAAATCCGTCGTAACATAGCAATTATTAAAATTTTGCAGATTTTTACTTGAAAAATTAATCTGAAAAAGTTTTCCGTTCCCGGGTGATCATTATCGCTAAGCGATCGTGAAATTGTGAGCGTTTAGCCGTTATACTGTAGAAAAAGGCGTTTTGCAACTGTTCGACTCGATGCAAAATGGAAGGTCTCGGTGGGGATCCGAACCCTCGTTCAGCATACTCATAGTGTATTTCTTAACCGGGTAAGCCATAACGGGGTGAACAATTGTAGCTCCACACTAGAATCACAATTTTTTTACAAGTGATTTCCTTTGAAATTAATTCATTCATGGTGATAATTACGAGGGTTTTGATTCAACGGGTTTTGTAATGATTCATTTTACGTTTGTATGTTTGTGGTCGTCGTTGTTCTTAAAAAATTTCATCGTTCCGTTTTTCAATGAATCGCATCTTTCAGGAAGTGTTTGACACTAACTTTACCCCTCCTCAGAAAAGAAGTCATCCGGAAAGAGACGAGACAATGTCTGAAAGAGTTAGCAAAGCTAAACGACAAAAGGCCACACCAAAAAAGGACCAAGCACCATCATCCGCAGGTATACGGGCCATCACGAAGATAGAATCGCCTGATAAGACACGGCTAAATTCTACGGTAATTTCAAAATCTCATTAATTCAGTTTTTCAACTCCTATTCCGAATCATTCCTGGAGATGGGTTTAAATGTGCAGTTTCTTGAAATATT